GAAACCAAACATGTAAATAAACGGAGAGATGACCCACGTTCGTGGATAGGAAGATTTAACATTGCTTAGGTATCAGTTCTTCCCAACTCGATCGATACAATCAAATTCAAATTCAAATTCAAAATAGAATCAAAATTCAATGTTATGTTCAATGTTGACCTAATGAGGGAAATTTGATTCAGTTCTTGTTCAGTTCGGTTTGGAACCAGAATTACGGAAAGGATTTAATTCGTGAACAGAGGTGTCACTGAATATTCAGCACTCTTTCAGCCAAAGACCCAGTGAGTTGTTTAGTGAATGTGAACAAACTGACTCTAAAGTTCAGGTGGAAATTCAAAAACACCTGAAACAACCAACGAATACTAGAGAAAAACAACAGAGCTGAAGGACTTATGTTATTCAACTCTAAAAAGGGCTATGAATCTACAGTAAGAATGGAATCTAATAGGGAGCCCCACAATGGCCCTGCATAGAGAGAGTCATCTGATTTTTGACGAACAAGCCGAGGTGAGTCAAGGGAGAAAGGATAGTTCAACTAATAGTGTGAACTAACTCAATATGTTTCTCCAAGAAAAAATTACACACACATATACATAAAACCACAAGCCTTACACTCACCAAAAAAAAAACAAAAACCTGAAAATGGATCATACACCTAAATGTAAACTGGAAAACTTTAGAAGATACCACAAGATAAAATCTTGGATCTAGGTTTCCTTGGGTTTGAAAATGAGTAAACATAACATCAAAAACATGACTGGTGAAAAAATAGATGACTTGGGATTTTATCAGAATGTATAAGGTCTGCTTTGCAAAAGACACTGCTAAGAGAATGAAAAGATAAACCATAGACTTAAGACACACTTACCTGTTAAAGGACTTATGTTCAAAATAGACTAAGAATTTTGAAAACTCAACAATAAGAAATCAAATGGGCAAAAGGTATTAATAAGCAATGAATAAGATACACAGATAGCAAAAACACACATGGAAGGATGCCCAACGTCCTCTGTCATTAAGTAATTGCACATTAAATCCCAATGAGATGATACTGCACACCCATAGAGCAGCCAAAATCCAAAACACCTCACAACACCAAATGCTGGTAAGAATAAGGAACAGTAGGAACTCGAATTCATTGCTGATGATGTGAAATAGTGCAGCTGAGCTGGAAGATGGGTTAGCATTTTTTTACACAACTGAACATCGTCTGACCACACGACCCAGCAGACCCAGCAGTTGGACTCCCTGGTGTGCACAAAATATTGTACACAAATATTCACACCAGCTTTTTTCAAACTTGTCCTAAACTGGAAGGACCCAAGGTGTTTTTCAGTAAGTGAGTAAATGGGTCAGGTGTGGTGGTGCATGCCTGTAATCCCAGCACTCAGGAAGCTGAGGCAAGAGGATTGCTGCAAGTTTGACGCCAGCCTGGGCTACATAGTGAGTTCAAGGACAGCCTGAACTGCATGCCAAATCATGTCTCAGGAAAGGCAAACTGGGAAGCATTCGTAATGAAGTCTTGCTCAGCAACAAAAGAAATGAGGCTCCAACTTCAAAAAGACACGGAAGAACTTAAAAGCATATTGCTGAGTGAAAGAAGGCAATATTAACACGCTCCATACTTTCAATCCCAACCAAACAACCCTCTAAAAAAAGGCAAAACTATGGAGGCAGGAAAAACATTCCCAGTCCCCAGAGTTTAGCACAAACAAGTAGAGCATAAAAGATTGGGAAGGAAGTAAAACAGGTTTTTCAGTTGCTGCATAGGCAGAGACTTGACATTATGCGTTTGTCAAGCTCCATATAAGCACCCAAAAGAGAATGAAGCTTAATTTAAACTTTAGACTTAATAATAATATGTCATCTGGGTATGGTAATGCACACCTGTAACTCCAGCACGCTGGCAGGCTGAGGCGGGAGGATGGCAAAGTTCGAGCCCAGCCTGTGTAACTTAGCAAGATCCTGTTTAAAAAAAAAAAAAAATGCAAAAAGGCTGGAGATACAGCTCAATGTAAAGGTCCTGGGTTCAGGACCCCCATACTGCCAAAAACTCAATTCTGGTCGCAGAATTGGCAGAAAGAATTCAGTCCGTGAACCCAGGCACCACTGTATTGGGTCATCAGTTTTTAACACATGTATCACACTAACCCAAGGTGCGAACAACAGGGGAAATTGTGTACAGACTAGAAGGCAGCTCCAGGGGAGTTCTGTACCACTTATTCAATTACTGTATTCAACAAGTCAGCACTGTTCCGAGTCCATGAATTTCTAAAAACGCAAAGATAGCCTTGGAAACAACCATGTGCTGGGATGCAGGTCACAGGAGCTGAACTGAGAAAGAGGTAAGACTTGGGAAGCCCCTGGACCGGGAGACAGAGTTTTAATCACTTGGGGGCTCCCTCCACTCCAAGGTCAGACGGAGCAGCCGCTGATAAGATTTGGAGAGCAGAACTGTACACAAGAAGATAAACCTCCCGTCTGTCGCCTCTCTGGGGCCTCAGGACAAGGTCCTGCTTCTTGTAGCTTTTTATTTTGACATAACCTCTGACCTACAGAAAAGTTGCAAAAAGAGCACGGAATTCCCGTAATTCCTGTCCTCCACCAGATTTCCCAGATGTCCGTTTTCACAGCTGACCACATCTGCGCTGTTTTTTCTGATCTTATCAGCAGCCTTTCGACCTCATTTCACAATCAAGCAAATGCAGAAGGAAAGGCTCTGATTTCCCTTCTTTCCCCTCTTAATTCTAATGAGCACTTACTCAGCGCCTCATACCCGGACTTTGTTTGAAATACTTTCCTCCACCACCACCCCACCGCGTACTAGGATTGCACTGGGACCTTTGCACTGAGCTACATTCCCAGCCCTTGATTCATTTTTCATTGTGAGACAGAGTACTGCTAAATTGTTAAGCTGCCCAAGATGGGCTTGAACTTGGTGGTCCTCCTGCCTCAGCCTCCCAGAGTGCTGGCATTCCAGGCATATGCCAACAACACCCAGCTGCAAGCACGTTTATGTGCACCTTGCCATTTTCCCCAGCATAGCACTGTGTGGTGGTTTAGAATTACCCCCACTTTACAGAGGGCGGCGGAGGAGCAGCGAAGGCGAGTCGTTCTGCCCAAGTCACGTGGCCAGTAGGAAGCGGAGTCGGCAGACGGACGTGGGAGTCTGGTTGCAAACAGGGATGACTTAAAGACCTAGAAAATGGGCCAGGAGGCCAACCCGAGGGACCAGAGCATCCAACCCAAACTCACAACCCAAGGCGATTCCAGAGGGTGCACATTCAGACTCGGAGCAAAAGACGCCTCTGTCTTTCCAGTGGGGAGCTTGCCAGGCTGAGCTGTAAAGGGGTGAAGGGCCTGGGCTCGCACGTCCCACCGCGTGGGAGTGTGGACGAGTCACAAGTGCGGGCTGCCGTGGGAGGGAGTGCGTTACAGGAGGAGGCTCACACTTGTCTGGACAGCTCCTGCTCCTCTCCGGGCCAGCTTTCTGGAAGCCCTTCCCCAGGGCCCCTCTCCCCAGGCCTGGCGCCACTCTGCCTGGGTTCATAGGCTCAGTCCCCTTACTTGTCCCTGTTCCAACTAGATCCCAGGGCTGGGGACAGAGGCTGCACCTGTCTCACTCTCCTCTCCTCTCCTCTCTCCCTTCCCCTTTCAATCTCGGAGTCACTGGCCAGAGACCGCTTCCTCCAGGAAGCCAATCCCGACTGAGTTCGCTGCACTGTCTGCGCTGGGGTTAACTTGGCGGTGACGTGCGTCTCAGACGCCAGCGGGGTCTTCGTCTGTGTGGTGTCTGCACCCACAGCACTCATCCCGGGGTCCTACACACAGTAGGGCCAACGTAGCAAATGCGTGCCAGAATGCGCCGGGTACGGTGCCTCTCCCGGGAGCCAGCCTGCGTTCACCAGGGGCCTTGCTGCTTCCCTGGCTCTGCCCAAACCGAAGTACCAAATCCCAGGGCTCCCCTGGCTCTGCGAAGTTGGCTTCCTCCTTCAGACTGGGAGCTCCTTCCGGGCAGGATGGGGTCCCATTGCTCCCCAGCGCCCAGCCTGCCCATGGGGTCTGCGTGTTCTTCCTTCTCACCTCCTTCCCTCTGCGGTCACTCAGGGACTGTGGCTCCCTGCAGCCCCTCCAGGACGCTAAGTGGGGTCAAACCGCAGGGCCTCTGCACTTGCCTTTGCGTCTTCCTAATGTCTTGTCCCCCGAGTCCTCTGCAGTTTCTCCCGGGCAAGAGCGCCGGAGCTATCGACCCCTGGAGCGCCTGCTCTATCGACCTAAAGAGTCTGTTGCGGTTTTACTTTCTCAGGGGACTTACTACCTGAAACACTTTGCAGGTTTTTTTTTTCTGCCGTGGCTCCCTCAGGGTTTTCCGGTGAACAGTGGTTAGTAGTGTCTAGAGCCCGGGTTCGAATCCCAGCACCACTGCTTACGAGTTGCGCGCTTCTGAGCAAGTTTCTTACCAGTTCCGTGCCTTGGTTTCCCCACTGGCAAACGGGGTGACCGTCGGCTAACACCCTAATTGACTAATCTAGAGGATTAAGTGCGCCGCCGTGTGAAGTGCCTCAGCACGGGGCGTGGCAGCTCTGCTGGCTATTGGTGGGAGGGTGTTTTGCCAGTTTTCTGGCGCAGGCGCTGGGTAAATATTACTGAGCGAGTGAGCAAACTCGCGCTTGGAAGGTGGGCCGCTGGCAAGGAAGGAACCGAGCAGTGCAGCCCTCTGACCCCAGCTCGAGGCCCCTCCGCAGAGCGAGGCCAAGGACGCGGCGGGAAGGGCACGACGGGCGGGCCCTGCGCTCCGGAGCCCCCGCGAGCGGACGCGGGTGCTAGGCGGGGAGCCCGCAGGGGCGCAGGGCGGGGCTCCTGGGGGCGTGGTCTGGTGCGCAGGGGGCGGAGCATGCAAATGAAAGGACAGGGCGCGCGCACCCTGGGCCATGGTGGAGCGTGCCAATACGAGGGGAGGGGCGGTGCATGCAAATACAGGGCGGGGCGCAGGAAGCCGCGGGGCGGGGCTCCGGCCCAGGAAAGCCCCGCTCCCGGGCGGCGGGCAACTGAGGTTACCCTCTCCGCGCTCGGTCGACGCGGCGGCGAATGGAGCAGGAGCGCGCAGGTAGGGCCGAGGCCGCGCGGTCGGAGCGCAGGGCGGGCGCCGGGGAAGGCTCCGGGCTCCGGGCCGAGGGCACTCGGGGAGCCTGCCGGGGCAACGGAGTCGCGGAGCCGCGACGGGCTCCGGGACCTCGGCGGGAGCCGCGCGTCCGGGTGTGGGACGGCGTGAGCCCGGGCGAGGCTGGCAGGAAGTCGGGGAGGGGCGCGAGCGCGGGGATCGGTCCCGGCAAGTGTCCC